ACTCAATCTACAAAAATGCATCGTTAGAAGTTAGATATCCAGCCAACTAGTCTAGTAGTAGCTAGCCCTTCGCTCATTTGTTTGGTTGGTTGTTTTCTTTCTATCCATCAAAAAAGAGCTGTGACACTCGATACCGTATTCCAAATCCCACGGCACACGACAGTATTTGAAAGGCCAACAGCGTCACACACAAATCTCGTTCCGACATGGGGCCCAAGAGTTGCAAACACAGGTTGAGGAGCGTCATGTTGGCACATTCGGTATCGTCGGGTTGTCGTTTGAGAAGTTTAAAGTCGGCTGCCTTGCAGGGAAATGTACTGGGTTGCATTAATCCCGTGGCCGGATCGAACCGTGGCAATCGATGTCGTGGGCACGGTGCCAATTTGAAGAGTTGCGGACAACTCCACAAGAAATTCAAAATTTGTGGAATAAAGAACAACAGTAGCGTTTTGGAAAAGTGTCCCAGAATGCCCACCACGGCAAATGTCATGCCGGCAAAGTAACAGTAGGTATCTCCCACAAAGACCGTGGCGGGAAACCAATTGTGTCGTAACAACGCCAATGTGACTCCCAAAAAGCTGAGCATAATCATGGCGGAAAAGAGATGATTTTCTCGTAATTGTTGTCCCTCGTGTTCCATTTCAATCAAGTTGTGTATCAGCACGGCACATCCAATAATGAAGGATTGTCCGACTTCCAGTCCATTAATGCCGGCATAAATATTAATGGCATTGGTACAAAAGACGGCCAACATTCCCATGTAGACATAATACAAAATTCCCAAATCCAACAATGCCCCATCGGCTTTTGGATCGACGGCAATAAGAGGCGCCATAAAGGCGCTGTCGTTCTGTGGAAATGTCAATACTTTGGCCAACCACGTGTATTCGCCCTGCTGCATCAACCAGGATCGCATGGGTATGGGAACTACCACGGAAGTGGATCCGGCATAGCAGCAGAGCAAGGGTAGACTGGCGACACTGGGGAGTACCAATTTGTACCTCCATGGCCAATCGAGTACATCATCGGTGAATCCGAGGAACAGCATGAAACAGACACTGAGGAGTGCCGAATTGAGATCCAATAATTTAGCCGGATGATGATGGGAATATCCCACGACACAGGAAATCAAGCAGACCAAAAAGATGGTGCCCGGTGCAATTCCAAGGGCTTCTGGGCTGGAAACAATAAATAAAATCAATAAAGGCATGAAACAGAATTGGAATGGACAAGGAGCGGAGAGTCCGTCATGAAGTATATTGTCGTGTTGTAAAACGTAACGGGAAGATTAGGAAGATGTAGAAAGAAAGGAGAAGCAAAAGTGAATAAGAAATCATCACAACAAAAACAGTTCACATGACATGACTCGCTTGGAATTGGATCCATCCAAAAACAATGCAATGCTCATTGGACTGCACTAGTCTAGTCTAGTACTCACACATCCCTGTCAGCAGTGGGAGTCCCTCGTTTTCCCAAATCTTTGCCACTGATTCCTTTTCGTAGTGTGTATTGTTGAATGTTGGGAATGAGTGCATTGGTGACGACATATCCCAAGACTCCCACAACCACATATGCCAGTAGCTGTGATCCAACGGGTGGCGGAGAGGATTCGGCATCTGATTTGATGGTCATCCATCCTTGGAGAATGAGGAGGGGATTCCCCAGCATTTGGAGTAGTAGGTAGCATGGCAGTAGCAACGGCAATATGGCCAATTGAAAGTTGGAGAGCGATTTTAATAGCGTCAGCATGATGGAAAGATAATCAGAATAGAACGGTACGTCAACTTGTGATAATGGATGGATGGATGGATGGACTCGGACTCCTTTCATACGCAGTGGACAGCCTTGAGTGAAACCCGTAGTTGTCCAGCTGCAGCCTTGTGTCTTGTGATAGCCTTGTGTGTCAGCGTATCTTATTAATAAAAGCCAAGCAATTCAATTACAGAAGCTGTATCTCTGTGCTGTCGTGTGAAGCTTATTGTATTGTTTGTGTGTGGAGACCTTTGAGCATGCAAAGAAGAAGAGCCGTCATTGTGGTCAACGGCCACCGAAGATTTGCTGCAGCCCATCGCGCACCGTGGTCTAGTTTGCCATTCGTGGATACTTTCCAAGGAATGTGTGCGTCTACGCACCTCCAGCGACGACAACAACGCGACGACCTCATCATCTCAAATCACATACCAACCTCAGCAACGATGAGCACCCCATCATCTGTATCTCCTCCGTCACAACAACGAACCTGTTGGAGGCGAGACAAAAACAATTCGTTAGCCGATGCCGCCAAGAGAAAAGATGAAACCTACCAGAGTCTGCTTCAAGAATTCTCGTCCACCCTTCCTCCCAAACGGTCGCTGACATCCATGTACCGATCCTCCGTCACCGTCGCCCAAGAATTTGCGCTGACATGTCTCTTTTTGGCACGGCATCGGGTTGTTCTCTGGGAAGATGAATTGTTACGACATAATAGTGACCACCAACACCACGAGTTGTTATGGATCCAACAAAAAGTCAATGCATCCCAACTACTGGCATTACTCGCTTTGATATTGATTGCCATTTTCACCAATTCGAGGGCGGCTCCACCGCCACCTCAAACCCGAAAAGCCAAAGTGCTGCAACGACTTGTCGATGCCATTTTTTCGGCCTTGTTTCTTCGTATTCAAGCATCCGTATTGCAGACTCTCACGGCTTCCTTTTCCACCGATACCGTCGAACGATTGACTGTTGCGGGCATGGTCATTCATCTAGTTACCTGCGATTATGCCTACGCCAATGGGATCGTCAATCCTATCAATATCAATACTACTGCTGATGCTACGACAGTATCATCATCTGTATCATCCAACAAAAACAACGACGACAAGCTTGCCACTCAAAATAAAAATAAGGACGACAACACACCCTCCAATAATAAACGACCCACATTTCAAGGCGGCACCGTGTCACTCAATGCCGCCTTTTTCTCTACCATTCTACTGGCGAGTCGACTCTCCTCCAACGCTCAAGTCTACGTCTTTGTGTCACTGGCCATTATTCTATTTGCCTTTTTTCCAGCGGCGCGGCATGCCATTTCCCAACATCCACACGGGGGAATCATTCATTCCGTTACTACGTTATTGCTGGCGTTGTCCACCGCCTGTTTGTTACAAGATAAATGGGAATGTCTGGTATTTGCCATGGTCCTCTTTATCATTTGTGGAATTGCGCCACTGTGCAAGTTGTGGTTGCAACAGTACAAACAAGCCATTCGGGGACCGTGGGAGGTCGTCACGGTTGCAGATATGATGTTGGATTGATTCGATTCATTCATTCTAAATACAGATAGATACATCGATAGATAGGTGATATATAGCTAGCTAGAATAGAATATGAACAGGCATCTCCAAAGATTAGATGTCGTGGGTACGAGACTACTGGCGGCACTGACAACACTTCTTCTTGAACGCGATTGGTTTACTCCCGGACGGTGCCGTATCTTTGTCCTGTCGTGCTTTGGCCCCAAATGACAGCGGGCTCTCGATGGTCTCCCTACAAAAGAAACAACAACAACCTACAAAGAATGGAACGCCATTGTACCTCAAGGACACAAAAGGAGACAGAGAGAGCGCGAGAAACAGTGATAGAACTGCAGACATTTTCTTCTATGAAGACAACAACAGAAACAACAAACCAAGCTAATGTTGTCCTCAATCAAACGGAACAGCCAGAGGCAGAGATAGCAGTGCTGACATCTTCGCGCACCAAGACAAAAACAGCAACAAATCAAGATAATGGTATTCTGAATCATACTGATATTTGGGTCAGTCAAATATTTCCTTTTCTGGGCATGGGTCATTTTGCATTTGTGGCGCCGGTCAGCCACAAAATGAAAGACTTGTACACGGAATACTGTGATTCGGAGGAGAACCCACCAGCTGTCAAAGACGACCAATACTCGTTTGAACGCCCAGCAACCTCTGTGGATACCATCTACACTGCGGCATTCTACACAGTATCATGCGCCAAGTACTGGCAAACCCATGCCAATGATAACGAAGTACCACACAAGGGTGCTTGTGCAGCTGCTGCCAGAGCTGGGAGTGCTGCAGCGCTTCAATGGGCCCACGAAGAATATGGCAGTCCATGGGATGAGTGGACCTGCTGCTATGCTGCTGAAAGTGGTCATCTGGATGTGCTAAGGTATGCTCATGAGAACAACTGTCCTTGGAACTCACTTACCTGCATCAAGGCTGCAGAAAATGGCCATCTGAACATCCTCATGTATGCTCACGAAAATGGATGCCCATGGAACATGTGGACGTGTCGCTATGCAGCAGAAAATGGCCACATCAATGTCCTAAGATATGCCCATGAAAATGGGTGTGGCTTGACTTCATTGGCATGCCAACATGCTGCCAAAAATGGCCATTTGGAGTGCCTCCAATACCTACATGAAAATGGCTGCCCCTGGTTTGAAGACACATGCTCTGGTGCAGCTGAAAATGGCCACTTGGAAGTCCTGATGTATGCACACGAAAATGGCTGCCCCTGGGGTGCAAATACATGTGCCAAAGCAGCACAAAATGGTCATTTGGAGATTCTTGAATATGCTCATGAGAATGACTGCCCATGGAATGGCTGGACATGCCACTATGCAGCAGAAGAAGGTCATTTGGAAGTTCTTGAGTATGCACACAATAATGGATGTGAATGGAGTGCATGGACATGCAAACAAGCCATTGAAAATGGGCATTTGGAAATCTTAATGTATCTACATGAACACGATTGCCCCTGGATTGACGATGCATGTGAACTAGCGGCCTACAATGGGCACCTTGCAATCCTTCAATATGCAGATGCACAGGGATGCCAATGGGATGAAAAGGCATGTAACTTTGCAGCTGCATTTGGGCATTTGGATGTGCTCCAGTTTCTCCATGCAAGGGGGTGCCCATGGAACAAAAATACATGTTTCCATGCAGCATCAATGGGTGAGCTGGAAACACTTAAGTATGCCCACGATCATGGCTGCCCTTGGGATGAAAAGGCATGCTCTGCAGCAGCTGGTGGTGGTCACTATGAGGTCTTGAAGTATCTATATGAAAACGGCTGTCAATGGGATGAGGACACATGCACCCAAGCAGCCCAGAAGGGACATTTTGACACTTTCAAATTTGCCTATGAACATGGTTGTCCCTGCAATGAAGACTTTTTAGTCACAGGTTTACGAAGCTGCAAGCAGGCCCGAGAATTCCTGAAGCAAAAGAAGATCCAGCGGCGTCAATCCGCCCAGGAATCGTCCCGACGCATCTTTTCCTTTCGACAGGCCAAGATCCAGTTCCCACCGACCTACTTCCTGTCCAGCAACTAAATTCTTTGCAGTGCATCCGCGTGCTTGGTTACGTTAGACTAAAGTACATGTATGCATGCAGCATCCCGAGGTCATTCTTGGTCAAACGACCTTGAATTAGATCTGCCTTCCTTGGCTCGGATGGACGGAGCCCTGTGCGTAGTTGTGATCGTCGGCTTGACAGGCACCAAAAGATACCGGTATCTCCCGATGGCCATAAGGAATAGCCCTGACTCGACTCGGCTGCGGTTATGGTGACATCTTGGAACTGTTTGTGTGGCTCCTTGATTTCTGCAATTCTGGACAACCCCCCAGAATTCCCTGCTTTTCAAAGGGTTTCCTCCTGGAGAGACGGCACTCTGAAAAGTGGAAATACGCAAAAGACGTACTTGAGAGGACACGGCGGCACCGGACGAGTTGATTGGCCTCCTGGAGACGAGAAGGTCGTTGTGCTATCAGATCTTGGCTTTACAATCCGCTCGCTGGTTGGCTCCTTTCAGTCTACTTTGCCTTGACGCGAACTTTAGTGCGAGCTGGCCAGGACCGACTCTCATGGTTCGGGAAAGTGTTGCGTGGAACTCGAGCATAGATCGGTTCGTTCCGGCTCAGTCATCGTTAGTTCGGGACGGATGCGACTTCGTTGAGAGCCACAAAATGGTCCAGTTTTCATCCAAGTTGTCAGCTTGTAACCAGCCATCTTTGAAAATACGTGTATCTTCTCTGAATTCCAAACTAGGAGTAGTTGTACCGGTACTGCACTGCATCCAAACGCAAGTAGATTCCAAGGTATCGATTTGAAGCTCGATCGTGAATCGCCATACTATCCAACGTTGCATAACAAGGAGGCGGCGTGAAGAGCCGCAGAAGGCATCGCATTGGAGTGATGGCAACAAATTCCAACCGCCGAAGGGGATCCGCGGTACCAGGTGTATCCCACCAAGGCTGTCAGGACATGATAAAAGGTTTGATTGCTTCAATAAATCAGGCTACCGGTATGGGTATACCAGCAAGTGGTAGTCTTGAGGCAGATGCCGGTATGGCGTGGCCATACATACACCTGACCTGATCACCTGATTATCCCTTGCTGTGATTTGATACGATCTGTAGTTCGATCGATTGTCGTGTCTCGGGGGTGGTCGTCCTGCGTCCTTCGGGCCTGCAGGAGCATCCTGCATTCGTGAGGTCACCTCACGATTTAAACAAACAAGGGGGTCTGGGGGTGGCTCGTGCAATTTACTTTGGCTCTTTTGAATAGGGGAAAAGAGTACAAAAGGTGATTCTGCAATTAAGAGGCATTCTTGAAGTGCTTTTGGTGGGTTAAACCATGCACTAGTAATTAGTAAGGATTTTTTCAGAGGATCTCCTTTTACATACTTTAAACCATCACTTTCTGGTTATGGTTTGAATTGTACGAAGCCTTCGTTTGCTTTCAATACAGAGTACTATGTGATTTAACAGCCACCAGGTTTGTGAAAAATACTTAAACTAAGCTGTTATCTTCGTCTTCTTCCTCTGGGAGCAATGTTTCTAACCTAGCAATCATGTCGAGCAGAGCTTCTGGCACTGACAAATCAACATCTTGAGGTAGTTTCTTCATAAGATGAAGCCCAGCTCTGGCTTTGACTCTAGAGAGGGAAACATAGTTCCAGTTCTTGACTTTACTCCACGTTGAGATAAGAAGATCTTGTTTTGTCTGGCCTTGCAGTTTATGACCAGTTGTAGCATTGTTGGTGAGAAGTGGGAGCTGTAGAAGTTGCACTGTAAAGTTGATGGTGCTTTCGGTGTGGCCAAAGTGCTTCGGAATGGGGGCTTTTACAAGACATGTCAAGGTCTTAGGTTGGATCTTGAAGTATTTCGTTTGACTATCCTCTGCTCGGCATAGCAGATAGTCAACCTGGGATGCTTCCACAGAAGGGCATTGCATACCATCAAGTTCCAGGCCCTTCGGTGTAGAACCACCACAGAGAACCACTTCTTCCAAGATCACTCTGGTTCCATTAGCGTGGCCATTGCGACGGGATACAGCTTACAATTCAGCTTTACAGCTTTATAAATTGCGGGCCTATTCTAGAAAATAATCAA